GAAAGGAATGGTCATCGCAACGAAATCCTGGATTCGGGAGTCGGTTACGCAAGGGGAAGGTATTAGCACCCCTCACGTCTGTCGTACTCAACGGGATCCACGCTTGCTTTCTAGTACGGATTGTTATTCTATCTATTCTAAAGGTCTGGGGTTAAAAGAAACTAAAATGACTCGGCAAAGTATCACACTTTATGCCTACGTATTCCCGTTTGGAACGAGAAATCAGAGTCAACGTAGTTCGCCTACCTACGGGAAAGGAGGGGAAGGTTGCTCGCTAGGATATCGCATCCTGTGCCTACGTACTTTCATACAGCATGAAAGATCAGAGCAAACGTAGTTCGGGCCACAGAAGACACAAGCTTGTCTGACTGTTTTTTATCTCCTTATGAAAGGGTTTTTCCTGATTAAGAGTCCAAGCGGACAAAAATGACACTTTGATGTTTGTTATCAGTCTTTTACGCAAGAACTGTCTTTTATGATGTTTGCAATCTCTGACGCACTAGAGACTATGATTTGAGGGTGACTACGTCGTGTGTCACCCTAAGGGTGACACACTAAGCAATCAGGTTACTGAAGAGTGACCCTCCAGCAACCTTTCTCAAATAGCTTAAGGCTCGTAGCTTACGACATCGATTATCCTTATTACTGTGTTTTGAATTGTTCTGAGATAGAAGAGAAAGAAGTTCTAAAAGACCTAGGGTTTGAAAGGGAATAAAACTGACCTAATGTTGTCATGCATGGATTACAACCTAATGTCTGTCATAATTCCCTCCTGCACATAGGAAATCAGAGATCCTAGGGGATAAACGAAACAGAAACAACAAAAATACAATAAACAGTAAAATGCATGAGATGCAGCAAAACAAGCAAGGCAAGGGAGTCTCACTCAACCTCGAACCTAAGAAAGCAACAGGAAAAGTGAATCAAATTTACTTCAAGCCTAAAGGGCAAGCAGCATAAGCCAACAGACAATACAGAGAAAAACAAAAGATACAGAGGAGGCAGCCCAAGCAGCAGCAACAAACTCCTACAACAAACGGCAACAACACGCTCTGAACAGCAAGTTGAAATGACAGCAAAGGTCTTATCTTTGAGCTATATTCCATCTTCAAGCTTCTTCAATCTTCATCTCCAAGCTTTAGCAAGCACACTCCAAGAAGAGATTTGTCATCAAGATCAAGTTGCAATGTTGGCATACTTGCTGAAAACCAAAGGAATTCAACAAGAACCAACATCGAAGTGGAAGTGTATCCTCAAAAGTTCTACTCTCTAGGGTATGCCCCACTTCCCTCCTAAGGAGAGATGGAACTTCCCTAAGAGGACTTTGCATCATAGGATAGAATAGAAGCAAACAATGCATTCTATGTTTGATGGAAGAAATGAACTAATTCTACAAAAGCTCTCCCTAAAAGCCTAATTCTACCAACTCCTAAAACAAACTTAAAAGAGAAAGAAAGCTCCACTACAAGCCCCAATCTTTTAGACAAAGCATCTTCATCATGTCTAGAAGCTCCTCTAAAAAGGAATCCAAAGTCTTCAAGCTCCAAGTCCACCAAACGCTCCAAACAAGGCAAAGCACTCAAGAGAGAACACCGAAAGCAACAATCGTTTGCAAAACCCAAAAAAAATAGCAAACTAAATTGTAAAATTCTAATAAAATTCTTATGTGAACATGCATGTTTGAACATTCTAACATTCCAGAATCAGGACCTAAATCACTTTCTAGGTCGTCTAAACAATTACTAAATGAAATTTGGTCATGGGAAACCATTATTTGGGAAGGCTCTAAACTACACGCTGAAAACATAATCTAATCAATTTTACAAATTCTAAGAAAATTCCTGGGGAAACCTATGGATATCCTCTAAATCATATCGAAAGAATCAGCTCAAAAGCATAAAGCATCAAAGAGAACAAAATTAAACAAACAGAAATATCAATTATGCATAACAATGGATATTAGCAAAAAAGAAAATTCGTAACTAATTCAAATAAAATCCTAAAAATGCAAACTCAACTCCTACAGTTTCTTAAGACAATCAAGATCTACAGAAAAAAATTTCATAATTTTCGATCATTTTTATTATTTTTAACGCAATTAATCCAAACAGCTATTAAAACAGAAGAAAAAAACGAAAATGAATTAAACTAAATTTCACATACCGGCTTCGGAGCGTCGAAACGGAGTAGTTGGAGCTCGTTTTTTCTTGCCAAAAAGTGCGGAAAACCTTTGTTGGAATTTGTTGGAGAAGATTAAATTCTTGATAACTCTTGAAAATGCCTTGAATCCAACTTTGATCTCTCACTTTTTCTCTTCCAAACTCCAATGTCAATCTATGGTTTTTTGCACAAATGAATCACCAACTCTTGCTTTGAACCTCTTCACAAGTATATATAGAATGTATTTGAAGACCCTAGAAAGTTCTAGATTGATCCAATGAGAATGTATTTGAAGACCCTAGAAAGTTCTAGATTGATCCAATGAGAATGTATTTGAAGACCCTAGAAAGTTCTAGATTGATCCAATGAGAAAATCAACTTTTCATGTCATGAAAATCTCTTCTTATGCTATGCACATACCATCTCATGTTTTGGCTTGCAATTCACTTGGTTATGAGTTTAAATTCTCTCCAAATGAGATATTGGAGGTGTATGGATGGAAAGGAGCCTTGCATTTGCTTGGAAGTGTGGTTTTGCAATTGTGCCTTATGGTTCAAGTAGCTCATTTACAAAGCAAGTTCTTGAAATAACCCTCAATTCAAAATTGTGGCAATGCCATTGTCTTTAAAATGCATTTTACAATCAAATTGGTATGTCATATGGCTTGTTTGTGACCTCTAACCCAAAATTTGATTTTTTTTCACCAAACTTTATTTGACTTATTCCCTTTTTTTAGGCCATTTTAAGTGACTTTTTTGAAATAAGCCGATCAATCCACCATGATGACTTATTTGACCTAAAAACATCATTTTAATCACATTTCATGTTGAACAATTTTTCATTTGAGAAGTGGAACATGGAGATTTTGACCTATGCTTAAAAATGACCTGTAATTCAACTTTCCCAAAATACCCTGGATTGCCAAGACCATAACTTGAATTCTACAAATCCTATTGAATAATTCTAGTACTAAAATTAAAGCTAAGATCAAGATCTACAACTCTTATGTTGGCCAAGAATCCATTTGAAAACTTCTTGATGGGCAAAAGTTGCTTGGAAGTCAAGTGACTTTCACAGATAAATTTCAGTATCCTCTGGGGACCCATAACTTGCAAGAACCATAACTTGAGTTCTATAAATATTCTTGAAGACTTATAGTACTAAAATTAAAGCTATTGAGATGTTCTACAAGTTTCATGTTGACCAAGAATTCATTTGAAACTTGCATTTTGACTTATCTGGCTTGGAAGTTAGGCCTAAATTAGGGGATTTTACACTGAAACCCTAATTTAGTAACTCCTCTTCTTCTTGATTCCTTTTGATTTCTCCTTGGCACAACACCACACATGTATCCACATATTAATTCATGAATCCCACTTTCTTCAATTAAGCCTTGATGCTCTCCAATCAACCATTTGACCTAGGGTTGACCTAGGGTTGACCCAGATGAAATCCTAGTTGACTGCATTCAACTGTAGCTCTGGTACTTGTATTAATGATTTGTCTCATCTTCAAAATGACCCTCTAGGTCTTCCATGATCTTTGTACACCTTCCATGGCTCACACACTCATTGATGATCTTCAACATATCCCCCAGATTGAGAGAGAAATCCACTGGTTGACCTTCAAACTTCTCAAAGCTTCAACTCATTTCTTGATTACTTGGATGATCTTGAACTTGAATAAAACCCCTTGATGGGCCTCTTTCTGATAAAAATGGCACTTGATCCCCTGTTAGATGACTTGTTATGCTATGCTATACAAATGATTAGACTATGTACATGACTTATTATGCAAATGCCAATGCAATTGAAACATAAACCAAGTGAAATAGGTTGAGCAAATTTTAGGGTGCAACACCTAGAGTGTTTGGTTGGCTCATAACCAAGACCATTTTTTTTCATTTATGCTTACTCCATAGATCATGGAAGCCATTTTTCTTCTATCTATGTTTCGTGCAAGAAATTTCTGAAAAGTCATGTCATATTTCTTTACGATGTCATTAGATTTCATAAGAGTTTGCGAAAAAGTTTCCTTTTCAAGTTATTTACTCTTACTTTTTAGAGCAGAGTTACCTTTTTCAAAACTGAGAATTTTTTTTTCAAATTAGAATTTTCTTTCTTCAACTCACTAAGGACTTCAGTGTCAGCTACATAAATTCTTTTCAAATCCTTGTGTCTGGTTCTGAAGAATTGAAAACTTTTCAAAACAGTAAGACAAAACTCAACATCATAATAAGATTAAAAAATACCTCATTTGAGTTTGAATTTGATTATGATCCAGAGTCAGATGCTTCAAAATAAATTTTTAATCAATCCTTTAAAACCATATCAAACTAATAAATTTATCTTTAAATCAGATGAATTTTTTATTCAAAACCAATTCAAACCGCCGCCCTGCAAACATCTCTAGTCTAGATGTTAAAATGAGACAATCCTTAACATCTTATGATTCGAAAGTATTTATTATATTTATTTAAGTTTATATTTTTAATACTTATAATGTATGCTTAAAATTATTATATAGAAATTAGAAAAATGTCGTAATTAGATCTTTGTAAATTCATATGCCTTTAATATTTGAACCACTTTGCAGATGAAAACATTTTCAAAATAACTCTAACACTACAGGTACAAACTATGCAGCTTAGCAACAAACTTGTTTCCCCAGCAAATCCTATTGAAACATCAAACTTGTTTTTTAAGATTACACATAGAGTCTAACATGCTATGAATAATTAAATTACATTTTTTTGTTTTTTCTTCTAGTTTGTATCTCTCTTAGAATATTACACATACGACAGAGCCGATAGCAACCAATTCGAATTATGTTTTTCAAGCTTAGCTTGAGCAGCAACCAACTCTCTTCAAGGCAGAGACATCATTTTTAAGATCTATTTTCTCTCCTTTGGCCGGCACAGATGCATTTCCATTTTCAGCACCCTCTACCGTTTTCTTGCTAACGATATGGTAGATTTGAGTCAAAACTTCAGCAAATGCACTCTCTACATTAGTAGCCTCGAGAGCTGAGGTTTCCATAAAGTAAAGTGATTCTTTCTCAGCATAAGACTTTCCGTCTTCAGTTGATACGGCAACAAGGTGACGAAGATCTGCTTTGTTGCCAACAAGCATCACAACAATGTTGGAATCTGTGTGGTTTCGCAGTTCTTTCAGCCATCTGTCGACGTTTTCAAATGTTGCATGGCGTGTGACATCGTATACAAGAAGTGCACCAACTGCCCCGCGATAGTAAGCACTGGTGATGGCACGATACCTGCAAATAGAAACAATATGAATTAGTAAACATGAGTGTTTACAGTTTAGAAACTTGTTGCATGTCATTATTCACAACAGCAGATTTTTAACCAATAATGCAGCAGTGTGTTCGTTCATTAAGATGGTTACAAGGCAAAACAACAGAAATCTAGACAGTACTTATTATGTTACTGGCCTTGGCTACAGAACTTGAATGATACTACAGTTTCTCTAAACAAAGATTAGAGCCAAAATGAAGTAATTGGGGCACATCAGAACATGTCCTTAAAGTTCTACTACTAATCGGAAACTCAGAATTCACACATGTATCTCACCTCATAATTCTAGTTTTCTAACCTCCCATTGCTGAAAAATAGCAGTTAACTAAGAAATAAAAACGACAGCATGCTGTTACATTATTCGTCCGGGAACGTAGGGAAGATAATCCAAACTTTGTTGCAATAAAATATTACATATATCAAAATATCTAGAGATGGTAAAACACATACATGTTTTAAAAATGACATGCAATTTTGGGATTTAACAAAACCATTGGAATGAAAAATATAACCCAAATACCTTAATCTCAAATATTGCGTCTGATTTAAATACAGCATTTCAGATTGGATGCAACTATCAATTTCCAATAGCACAGTTTGAGACAATTACAAACTCTAATTAATGTCTGCAGTAAAATTTCAACAATAGTAATTTATTCATACTAGCAGGGTGCAAGATGGGGATTTTGGTTTCTAGGAAGATTTTTCAAGGAAAAACTTGACGAAAAATCAAATTATGATATTGCTGAACTCCTGAAGGGAATAGTTGATATGGTAAACAGAAAAAGACCATTATATTGTTACTCTTGTATAAGCTTTTTTACCATCTTCCATTGATTGCAGTTTTGAAAGGGGATGAATATGTAATGAGATGAACAGGGAAGATTATAACTGGTTAAGATATCATCATGTGTCAACAATTCAACCTATAAACCCACAACAATATCATTACTTATCACATGTAAAATTATAGTTTTCAATTTGGCAGAAAGGGGAACTTGATCAGAGGACACTATGCTTCACTCCCAGCCTACCATAGCAAACTTTCGTTGGGAGTTAAGATACATGTAACTTATTTATAGCAAGTTTAATACAGTTTATGTAATAAGTAAGCATCCAATAAGAATGATGTTAATATTCAAAATTCTATTTTGACATTACGTTAGGTGTCCATGAACATATCTCAAATTACAAGAAATATCTATATGATAGACACAAATATAACAATTGGCTTTACAAACAACCAATCACAATTTTTTTATTAATTAAAAAACAAAAATAAAATATTCTCTCTCCTTCATTATCACAACCACCCCCATGATTCTAATTAAAAAAGAAATTAAATTTTAAATAAATTTAAAATTTTCTCTCTTCTTATTGGTTGTTTCTAAGAATAAGGATTCAAGTTCGTTTTCATGAAAGTTTTTCTCATATATGCATAACTGAGGGTGATGCTTAACTTTATTTTGTAACAATTGCACCCAAATGCTTCACATTTGGGACAGTTTGATAGACCAAGAACATAGATGAACAAAGCATGAGAACAGAAGAACCCACACATATCAACATTCCAAATCCATACAAGCTTTAAGATGGAAATGCATAATCCCAGCAATAAAATGAAAACGCATTAAACTAAGAGCATGTTTGGTTTGATTTGATTTGGAGAAATGCTTTTTATTTTCACTTGCTCTGCTTCTTTCCATAGATTTTATAAGAGAATGTGAAAACAAAATGTTTTCACTAGTTTCTATACAAATCGAAAATAGGGCATAAAGTATCAATTTTGTAATATAAGTGCCGAGAATTTGGGTACAGTCTATCACAACTATTACAAAACACCAGTTTGTAAGGTGTGACTGCCTTATATACTCATATCTAGAAATTTTCTCATATAATGTAGGACCCAAAACACGGACCCCTCACGCCAAACACTGGACACCTGGAGCATGACCTGAATGGTTTGATAACAGGCGGCCAAATGGATCTTAAATAAACTAGAAAGCGTTTTTTTAACACCAAACAAGACTTGATTTTCAAAATGAGGCTTGTACGTGAAATTAAAACATAAGCATCAACATATTATTATACAAATTTAATAGTGTTATGTGAATATCTTTATTATATAAGTTAAAAATATGAAGACAAGAAGTTTCCATTCCATGAACTAAATGAACTTGGTTATTATTTCACAATGAATTAGGATAGTTTCTCAATTTAGAAAAAAGGATATGTATTGAACGTGTAAAACAATTTTACACTCTGCCAATCACCATCATATATTCTGTTAAGCCATCTTAATATTTTTAAATTAATTCACGATCATATATTTTGTCAAGTCACCTTAATATTTTTAAGTTAATTGTATGACAACGTAAAGCTATTGTAATATATTTTGCCAAGTCACCTTAATATTATGCGATACCTTCCGTCTCTACTCAATATCAATGTTACAATATACACGACTCAATAAAAATTAACGTAGAAATACCACGTATAGAATACTTTTGATTAATGAAATGGTAGAAATACCAGATGACAAGTGACAAGAGTATATTATATTCATAAAAGGAAAACTCTTAGTCTTTTTTAAACAAAATTAAATTCTAGATTTTTTATAAACAAAAATAATGGACCTGAGTCCAAACTCCACCGCTAATATGGAAAATCAAATACATGCTGAAGTCTAAAAAATATTTCCTTACCGCTAATAAAAGTATTAATTAATTAATCAACTAAACTAATTCCATAAACATAAAATTCATTTATTCATCTTCTTCTATTGTTTTCTAACTCTATACTATTCAAATACTCAAGCATTTGAATTGAAGAACACTTCAACAACAGATCACGATCCACTACACAAGAAAAACTCGAGTATCCACAGATCAGATCCATTCAACAAAATCACTAGAATTTAAAAATCAAAACACAAAAAATCTAAATCTCAGCTACAAATTCATCACTTAACCGCGATCTCACATTTTCGAGCAAAACAAATCAACTAATCAAATGAGAAATGGTGAAAAATACCTCTCTTGTCCAGCAGTATCCCAGATCTGAGCCTTAATGACTTTGGAATCAACATTTAAAGTACGAGTAGCGAATTCAACACCAATGGTGGATTTGGACTCGAGATTGAACTCGTTCTTCGTGAACCGAGAAAGAAGATTAGATTTACCTACGCCTGAGTCTCCGATCAGAACTACCTTGAAGAGATAGTCGTAGTCGTCGTCGGCTCTGTAACCCGCCATTTTTGTCTTCGAATCTGGCTTGTGCTCTTTCTCTGTTGCTACACTCAGAAACAAGAGAGAGAGTAGAGAGAGAGAGAAAAGAGTGGAGAAACGTTAAACTTAAAATGCTCAAAAAAGCGCCGCAGTTCTTTTTGTTGTTGTTAATTTTAAATATTGGGGAAATTATTTTACTATATCCGTTTCACATTAAAAACGACAGGTTTGCAGATATAAATTTGACCAAAATGAAGAAAAAGTTTTCTCATAGACATATATAAAAAAAGGAAAAGAATAGTAAAAACAAAAGTAAAGTTATTGCTATCAATGTCCTGAAATTATTAAAACCCTATTTATATTTTTTTATTTTTAAATTTTTTTTGATATTCATAAGTTTTGATTGGCTACCGATTCTTTTAGTAAAAATTATTGTTATTTTTTTTAAAATATATGAGCCAATATTTAAAACTAATACAAACTTTTAGAAAATGTATTATTCTAATTATTTCTCTTATTATTTGCAAAATTTAAAAATTATTTTATGATAAAGGTTAAATATATAACACCCTCGCGATATAAGTAAATTTTGATTTACATCGTGTAAATAAAATTTTGAATTTCATGAATTCTATGTCTTTAGTCCTTTAAACGTCAAAGTTATACATGTAATATTTGTAATTGGATTTATCCCTAATTTAATATTCAATCTCATGTTCCTTTATATTGAAATCAGAAAACACGGGACCTTCCCGATGACTCCTACTAAAGATGGTCGTAGATACATGCTTACAAAACATGCTTTGGAGTTGTCCAGATTCTTGAATATACCATTGGACATTATTTACAAAGAATACTAATAAAAAAACGAGTTTAGATATTTCAATAAAAGATCCACACAAAAAATACATGGGATAAAGCAAAACTCGTTTACGAGTTGTTATATATTTAACCTTATAATAAAAGAGCGAAAACTCAAGATCTTTTAAATGTGACAAAGATTTTCATAATGGGGTGTAATGGTAGATCTTGTCTAAAATATTATGGAAGACATAAACATTAATTAAAATATTATAATTATAATTTTCTAAAATTATATATAATTTTATTAAAATATATTAGCATGAAAGATTATATATGTCAGACAGAAGGTACTTTCTGGAGAAGATGAAAATTTGACCGTAATCAGTTTCTCCAGAAAAGACGCTGAAGGAATATTGGCTCATGAAAATGAACCAATGGTAATCAAAGTACAAATCTGTGACTGGTGTGTGAGGTGAGTCTTAATAGATTCTGAAAGTTCAATAGATGTTTTATATTAGGATGCATTCAATGGGATGAATCACGATATCACCGAGTTGTTATCTTTTAAAGGTGCTTTGGTCGGTTTCTCCGGAGAAACAGTGCAAATTCTAGGATATATGCCTATGATAACAACTTTCAGTGGTGGTAACAACGCCAAAAGTGTCAAGGTTAGATACTTGATTGCCAATGCCGCATCTCCATACAACACTATTATTGGGAGACCATCATTCAATGCATTGGAGGTGGCATAATCCACTTTATACCTCACATTGAAGTATCCTCTTGAAAATGGATGTGTATGGGTAATAAAGGGTGACCAGGGATTAGCAAGGGATTGTTATAAAGATAGTCTCAGACGACTCAGATTGTTTCTAACTTGTCCCCGGAGGAGGAAGCCGAGATCGTTAGAATACTGAAGGAGAATATAAATATGTTCGCATGGAAACGAGTTGACATGCCCGGAATAAATCCAAACATTGTCTATCATTATCTGGCATTGGATCCAGCCATCAAGTTGGTGTCTCAGAGAAAACGGAAGGACGGAGAAGAAAAGAGAATAATGATAGAAGATGAAGTTGGGAAACTTATGAAGGCCGGTTTCATTCAGGAAATCAAATACCCGACTTGGGTTACTAATATAGTGTTGGTAAAAAAGAAATCGGGAAAATGGCGGATGTGTGTGGATTTCACTGACTTAAACAAGGCATGTCCCAAAGATCCTTACTCATTTACTTACATAGATTGACTTATTGACGAGGCTTCCAATTTCCGTCTTCTCAGCTTCATGGATGCCTATTTGGGCTATAATCAGATACAAATAAATCCATTGGATGCTCCCAAGACAACGTTCATGATGAATAGGAATAATAGTAAATAGTAATTATTATTATGAGGTGATCCCTTTCGGGCTAAAAAATGGAGGGGGTACCTACCAAAGACTGATGGATATGGTGTTTACTTCACAGATAGAGCAAAACCTAGAGGTATATATGGATGATATGGTGATCAAAACCCCGGAAAACCAAAAACACTTCAACGGTTTAAAGGAAACATTTACGTTATTTAGAGGTTATGACACGAGGCTTAACCCGGATAAGTGCACTTTCAGGGTACAAGCCATTCCTTGGGTTCATGTTGACCAACCGATAAATAGAAGCAAACTCGGATAAATGTCAAGCAATCATTAACATGAGAAGTCCTTCAACAGTAAAAGAGGCACAACAGTTAACAGGCCATTTAGCCACCTTATCCCGCTTTTTGTCTTGTGCATGAGACAAATCGATTCATTTCTTCGCTGCATTTAAGAAGTCAGCAAAGTTCGAGTGGACAGAAGAATGTGAAGACGCTTTTAAAGAAGTAAAACGTTTCTTGTCTGCCCCTTCCATCCTGATTCGACCGAAGGAGAACTAGCCTTTCATCCTGTACCTAACCATCTCAGACAAGGCCATAAGCTACGTGTTAGTCAGGAGACGGAGAATGGGGGGAAGCTGATATATTTTGTTAGCGTCAAGTATCTCATGTTTAAATCACAAGTGGTCTATTAAAAGAAAGATCATATCTGATCTGACCTAATCAGAAGGGTATCAATGGACCGCCACGCGTCTTTGATCTGTAACCTGTTCACCGGTGGTAGGAAGGAGGAGGGGTGTACCTGCAAGACACTCTGATGTCAAAATGAGAAAGGACCAGAGTGGAGCAAATACAGAGAGAAGGTGTAGAGAATTGAATACCTAACCCTCTAGTGAAAGAGGGTATTTATAGTGAGACCCCAGTGCAGGGCCAACGGTCATTTGCGTTGGGCTGGATGGCCAGGCCCAACCCAAGTGACTGCTAGGGCTTACATGGCATAGTGAAGACCAGTACATGGTCTTCGCCCTAGATCAATTGTCCCGTGATCTCCGGAAGGTGGGCTGACCTGCTCTTTTGGAGGTGGGTAGTTGTCTGATGACGTGTCCCCACGGAAGGGAGCACGTGGAGAACGTATAAAGGACACGTTGTTCGGCTCGAAGGAGGGAAGATTCTGCCCGCCGAGGGCAGCGTCTGACCGGCGGGAGCCTTGTGCACGACGTAGATGATATGGGCCCTCTTGGGCCTTCCCAAGTATCATTGGGTTGGGCCTGTCCGGTCAAACCGGGGATCAGACCAGAACATGATCCCCCCAAGTCGTAGCTCGAGGAGAGGGAGCGAGGACTTGATGACGTTGTCGGACAGGAAGTATGCATGGGGAGAGATTTCGTACGTGTGTGTTTCTTGAAGGGGCGCGAGCATGACTGTCTTCAGGTGGTCGGGCTTACCAGTCGAGGACGCGCCTTCAACAGATGTTGATAGCGGGGAGAGATGAAGGGACGCAACCGTCAGTCTACGCCACGTGTCAAATGTTGGACGGGCCATGTGGGGCGGCTACCCTAGGGCATTCAAGTTCCTAGGGACGCTTCGAGTCCCGCACCGGGGTATAAGTAAGTGAGCCCCCGCCTCATTCCTCATTTTTGCTTCTATTATCTCCTATCCGCGATGATTCCCTTGTTCGTTTTTGCATCAACACCCCAACCATCGTCGCGTACTCCGCCGTTACCAGTAAATCAGTAAGTTCCTTTTCCTTTCTCTTTTCCTATTTCATGTGTTTAAGTCGTGGTCGGGGCGTGTTGAATTCCCCGAGGAGGGAGAAGAATATCCGCCGCTGTTGCACCCTAATTTTTGACCATAAGATCCCACCCCTCTCGTGTTTTTTTTTCTTGTTGGTTTATACGTACATTTATTGTGACTAATGAGTGTATGCAGGTTCGGTTTCACAACTCATGTGTTACCAAAGTCATTGATTGACAGAGAACTTATCAAGACGACGAATTTGGTACAAGGCATGAGTCATGATGTTACGACGGAGTTGTTTTTTTAAAATTCAAAGGAGCAAAACGCCATTGCAAGGCAAAGACGCAAGCATAGTCTTTGTGTTCACCAAGTCTATGAATTATTTGGAGTTGCAAGAATCGCAAGCACATGGCACTTTCCATCATTTTGGATTTTGTTATTCAAGTCATTCAAATTCCATTTCCCAAGTTACCGGAATCGTGAAGGCTTAAGATTCAAAGATTTATCTCTTGAGGGTAACAACTCAAGCTAAATTCAGAGACGTAATTCATTCAGGACTTTATTCAAATCATTTCTAGCAAGTCCTTCGCCGCTTTGTGCCATTGAAGATTCATCATGTGCAACAACTTGTGGTTGGTATAATCATACGCAAGTTTATTTAAAATTCTCAAACAAACAGACAAGCTCATCACTACATTGGATATTGACATCACAAGTGGGAAAAAAACTCTAATTTTATTATAACTCAGATTGCCACCGAGCCAGGAGGTGTTAGCATGTCCCATACGTTTTACAATGTCTATGCCATATTTTATACACATTGAATCATTACAATTAATTTAACTCAAGGCTCATTAAAAATGGGACCCATCGTGAAATTGGAGGAATTAATGAGCCTTAGAGCATGTGTGATCATGCCTTCTCTACACTTTGCCAGCAGTGAAGAAGAAGTTCAAGAACATTAGTGTTACAACGGTGACCAATCCACAGCCAGCAAAACCGCATCCACCACCAACTGGAACCATCACAATGCCAATCTCATTGGAAGCTGAAGTGTGTCAAATGCGAATAACCGCCTGCTGCGATTCATAAGACGCAACCTCTTCAGTAGGCCGTACGTTACGCTCCAATTCCAT